CTGTGGCAGAATTCTTAGCCTAGATTGTGCCAATATCTAGAATCTACAAGGGTCAGAAAACATGCCTGAAGAGATGAGAGAACTGTTCGACTGAAAACGAAGAAAAGGAGATCATACCAACCAACAACACATGCAGCAGCAATCATCAACAACATCAACAGCATGACCCGAAAGCCATTGGAAACATATCTCATCTACTTGATTTCTTCTCTAATACATTCTCCGGTAAGCGAAGTGCACAAGCCTTGTGCTACTCTTACTATTTCTTCTTCTGCAGATCATTCCACCTCTTCAGCTCATCATCAGAATGATCGTTTGACGGATAATATTGAGCATCTACATGATTGTACATGTATGTAGTGAACGATTAGGTACAGCAGGCACATTGAGCACATGCATGCGTACACACACACACACACACACACACACACACACACACACACACACACACACACACACACACACACACACACACACACACACACACACATTCAAAGTATTAGGAAATTCGAGGCCACGTGCCTCGTACTGCTCTTTTCTCTCCGAAACTCAACACTTGCAAGCCCGGCAGATACGAAAGAAAGAATACTACACAGTTTATGAAATTTTGCGAATAACAAACCTCGAGCAAGCACGAGGAATATTTGTCATTCACGAGTTGTCGGTATTCGCCAGGTTGAAGTATACGGCCGAGCGGTGATCCTGTCTGAAAAAGTGTTGTTATTTGCGTGATGTTGATATAATTATCACGGCTGTCGGGTGCGGAACCTAAGGACTGGGGGTCAGCCTGCTAGCCTAGGCCATTCCTATTTTCATGCATTACAGTCGATACACAGTTGAGTGGCCGTGTATACATTGGTATGCTGTGCTTGATGACATGTTAGCCTGATCATTCTTCTGATCTCTTTTGTTTCTCTTCCCCTTTCTTCTCCCGACTTTCTGATGCGTAAAGTAGGCGCGGATGCCGAGACCATGGGTCGGCACAGCCTGCAGCACCCCACTGCCACCGCTGCCTTGCATTGCGGCCCCATTCAGTCAATGTCTTGCTAGTCTGTTGTTTTTGTCATTTCCTCTTTCTTTCTTGTTTTACGAACTGGGTGCGTGGTTTCAAGTAAAAATAGGCAAAGTCCGCGAGCGATCGAGCCTTTCACCCATTTCCAAGGAAAAAGGCGGTACTGGAAGGTTAGGACAGGACTCAGTAGCTAATAGACGATAGACAACAATCGTGTACTGAGGCTACAGTCGCCATCATACACACATCTTTGACACAGGCCATGCAGGTCTATAGATCTACATCATCATGACTAGAAGTCCAATGTGCAGTAGCAGCAGCTGCTCCTCGCCAGAAAGCAGCAATGTCACTAACTGCAAGCGCTTAGAATGAGTACCGGTAGTACCGCACAGGCACTTTACTAGTAGAGCATAGAAACACTGCAACACTGCAACACTGCAAGGATTGGCATCCCTCGACTGTACTGTGTTAGTTCACACCAAGGCAACAGCACATTCTGGAATAATATTGTCATCAGTGCTGCAAGACAAATCGGGAATAAAAGAGCTCCAGTGACTTACCCGTTAGTTGTACAAGAAGTGACCCAAGAATCGCGGTCAGGATGAGAACTCTTCCATATTTACTAGCCGCCATGATCAGTCCAGGTGTTAGGCAGGCACCTCCTTCACACTACGGCAGTCACTGTCCTAGCGGCGAAAAGCAGGTCTTCGAGGAATCACTTCTCGCCAAGCTGTGCCGGTGCAATAATCAATACAGATACACGGAATCTGAAATCTGTCGAAACGTCCACGCGACGTCCCGTGTTCTTCCCAACTGCAAGAGTGGACTGCCACCTCGATGTTCACAAGAGGAAAAGTTAGTTTGAGATAGAACCTTTTCTCCCTGCACATGCAGATCTCCGCAGGGTGCGCTGACACCGCGAACGGCTTACAGACACGTTGGTGAACCCAAATGAACTCTCCCTTTATACTACGTAACTGTGCGCGTCCGTGCGTGCCTGCGCGCGCTTGTTCTTATCGTGTGTCCGGACGTCCGAACACTTCCTCTTCAAGGCCGAAGTCAGGGAGTCAAGCATTCTTTTTGGGACCAGGCCGCGCCTGTTCGTATGCCATGCACTATGCACTATGCTGAGTTCACCATGGTGTCCTGGTGCATGGTCATATTCTTGATCGAATCTGGGCTCCCCTTTTTCCCCAGCCAATGTAAATCTGCTACTAAGTCTGCTACTCATGTAGATCTACATGTACATCCCGCATTTCCTACAACGCTTGTACGGTTGCAGAGGGCACCATCTGCACATAATGTTACAGTGGCCTGTCGTCACCTGCGCGCTCCACTAGGCAGGAATAGGAAAATATGTGCGGATAGGTCGAACATGCGGATACCACTTATACGTTTTGTGGGAACTTGAGTGTGCAGCTGCGGCCAATCTGCACTGACTGCAGACTGCAGTGCAGTGCGGACCAGGCTTGTGTCGTTTGTTTGCGATCATGAAACAGTCTGAGTCATAATCTTGCGTCTTCGTGTATATTCTTTTATGCTTTACGAGAAACCGCAAACCTCAACAACATGTTAAATTAAACTAGATTCACACCTTCCATTTCTATATTCGCTAGCAATCTATACTTTCTGCGCTAATAGCTCCCTCACCCAAGTGACCATCCACACAGCCATCAGGGCAATAATGTTCTGTGCTGAATCATAATACCAACTAGCTACATTTATCACCAAACTATGCTTTATATTGACCAAGTCCCGCTGAACATGTAATAGTCGCAACTGATGATTGCATTGCGCAAGAAACTCTGAGTTGCGACAACTCTGTAAACCTACGTTGTGCCTTTGGTGTGTAAAGAAGTGCGCTGGTTAGCTTTATGCTTTGCCCGCTGCTTCTAGCAGTTTGAGCACTCTCAGCGCTAGTACATCGAGCTGTCCTAATGTCTGTGGTTCTCGTAGCCATGGCTGACAGTTCAATCCTATTATAAGCTCGGAGTTGCACTGATGAGGCCTCATTGGCCGAAACAGTCTGGCTATCTGCATCGTTGAGTAAAGTATAATCATGACTGTATGTTTCACTTCAAAAACACTACTACACCACCGGGAAAGGGAAGATGGGAGAACAGGGAAAGGACAATTGAAAACAATGGGATGGTGTGAGCTACAGAGAAGCCGTGTTGGCACATACAATGTGTAAGTCTGGAGGCGTCCCACTGACCATTGCCATTGCCGGCATTGGTCTCAGCATCAGCATGCCACCAGAGCACCAGGAAAAAGGGGATGCATGGAAAAAGAAAAAAACCAAAAAACCAAAAAGCAGTATTACAGTACATTTAATCTACGTGGAGATAAAAGTTTAATAATAGCTATGAAAAGTATGAATGCCGCAGACATCACCACGCAACATGACAATTTGTTCAAGGTTTGGTTTTGTGTGTTTCCAAAATCGATTTTCACGTTCCGATCATCAGTGGAAATACGGAACTAAAGAGATCAAGGGAAAAACAAAGGTTAATAATCCAAAGAAGTGTGACACATGACGGGTAACTTGTGGTAAGTATTACAAAAAGTGAGAACTAAAATAAAGAGTAAGTGTGACAAACGGGCATGAACAGTGCAGAAACAACTCATGAACACGGGGTGCAAACTCACGAAAATAACCTAAGTGCTAAAACATGTTCTTTTTGCTTACACAAATCGGGCTTATGCGTACGAATACAAACAGCTTCAAGGACCTTCAACAGTACATTTTTTTTTTTTAAACTGAATACCACAGTACACAGTACCATCAGATGCTGCACAGCGGGGGCGGTGGCATATTGGATGGAAGTGGGGGCGGGTCAAAAGTAAATCCTCCGACCAAAGGTCTCGGAATCATCGTTACTCCTGTGCGCCGATACATAGGAGAAAAGAAACATGTGCATCCAAGAGGGAAGCACTGGCTTTGCAAACGATAATGGGGAGAATTTGAGATTGAGATAGGACAAAACAATAGTAAAAGCAGTGCACCGTAGGAAGATGGAGTGAACTGATAATCGGATTTTAAGGCTGAGCGAAGGGGATCAAAGAGGGGTAGAAGGGAGCTGGAGTGCGGTCAGTATAATTAGGCTGTTGTGTTGGCAGAGATCATAGCCTGTCTGTGGCCCACTCCAATGTAGTATTACAGTTATGCGACGTATGGTGCAAGATTCAACCAGGTGGAGAGAGCATCCGCTTTAACCCCACTTGTGTGTTCGACCTCAGGTGTGGCATGCAAGGAAACCACTATAATTATTTCTTGTAGCTGCTTTGGTTGTAGACAAAACCAAAGAATTGGTGCATTTCGCCGTGATGAGGGAGTTACGCACCCGGGTTTCGTTTTGCCTGATGCAATGGGCAGTCACGTGCTTTAGGGGCTGCAGTCCTGTGCAGGGCCTCTTCCATTCGCCGCAATACAAGGTCGGGACTCGGTCACTTGGGAACGCCTTTGCAGCATATTGCCGCCGGCTGTGCTGACATGGGCAGAGGTGTGACTTCGCCTTTGCATGCCGGTAGGCAATTTAGGTAGCGTTTTCTTGTCAGGATTTCGTGTTCAATATTACATTTCAATTGAATGTTCTATTTATTTCCGAATTAAATTATTTGGGTTGTCTTTTTTGCTTTGGTTCTTACTGCATGGTTTCACGCTATTAGTATTGGCGTTAACGCGTTGTGAATAAAGTGGCTTTTTAAAAACACGTTCTCAAATATGGCATCATATACAGAGGTGACTGCTTTCTGAGCTGTGGTGGTGAGCGTATCATGTGGTCCCAGCGACCAGCGTACAGGTGATCTTGATATCCAGGTTCATTTGACTGGGAATAACATGCATTTGCCCGGCGTTGGTCCTATTACTAGTTTTGTAATATTACAGTGTTGTTGTAGTGAGTGGTCCGCTAGGGCAGGTGCTTGCCTTGACCGTCAGGTTCTACTGTACTACTGCTGGTTTTTCCAGACGTTTTTGGTTGCTTCTTGTACAAGCCCGATATCCCGGTTGCAGGCTGTCGACCAACCCGGACTGTAGCTTGAACTACTTGGAAGTTACTTCGAAGTAGCTTCACATACAATGCATAATCACCCCCTAACTGAGTTACTGTGCAGTACCGGTACATGCAAGCCATCCCGGTAGTACGTAGAGTCTATGTATGATCATAATATTCATGTCAGCCTAATATACCTGTTACTGTTTCTAGTGGACTCAGACGAGCACATTCGGCCAGAATCGCAATCTGCCACCTTCACTACACAAGTGGTCCTCTTCAAATTACAGAATTATCATCAGTTATTCTCAGGTATTGATTAGCGTGTATATGTATGACATGCATGGGACAAAACCGCCGTGTACACGTACATGTACCACAACCAGCCTTACATACAGCCAAGCCTGGGGTGAGTAATGTGCCATTCCTATCATTCCTATGGCACATTACTCACCCCTTTCCGAATCCGAAAGGGTCAACAGTCCCTCCACTTTCTCATCCTCCGTGCCGGTATGGTGGTATGGTGGCCACTGGCGCGGGATCCAGTGCTGTGCACACATGTTCAGCGTGACAAGCAGCATGCCTGGCCCAAAGCCGAAGACTCAGGATGATGGAGCAGAGTACCCATAAGGCCAAATATTATGCACCCTTGCAACCTTGAATGTGCTCAGTCGCATAGCAAGTGTATCATGCATGTATGTGAGAACAACCCGTAGTAGAAGACTACTTAGCACGAAGGCTTACCCGTATGTACATTCTCTACATGACTGTAATAATGAGGATTGAGGGCAAGAGAACTTGGTGACTGGATCCAGTTTCTGAATCAGTATCACCATGGAAACAGCAGGAAAGAATGGTGGCCCATAACAGGGAGCCCTAAACATACATGATACATAAGGTGTAGGGCTCCCTGGTCCATACTTGATCATAGACTCTGTCTCGGTCAAGTAGGCTCCGGGGAAGAGCGACATGACCATTGTAACTGCAGCGTCCCTGTTCTGTTGTCATTGTAACTGCAGCGTCCCTGTTCTGTTGTCATTCGCTTGAAAGGGAAGAGTACATTCGACTACCATACCAGTTCCAACCATCCCAGTTTGGCCGGGACCGTCCCGATATCGAGGGTGGTAATATGCACCCAAAAGTGCATTTGTTGCATGCTTCACAGGTACAATTGTATTCATTTTCATAGCCAGGTATGTCATTGTCCCGATCTCGGTTTGAATATACATCCTGATTTGCAGTTCTGGCCAAAGAAGATTGCCTACGAGCTACCTCAGTGTAAATAATGTTGATAAACCTTTTAAAAAGAAATAGTGAGTTTTACGGCGGATCAAGATGATAGGAAGTATTCCTTCTCAAGCAAAGCAATAATTATGTCACGGGTTCCTTTTGGCAAGTTTGCTCACACGTTACGGAGAGCCTAAATTGGATAGATTCAATAATGAACCTTCTGGCAATTCCTGGAGGATTATGAGCACTTGAGGAACGACAAGTGCGCACTGATTTTGCCAATATTATTTGCTGGAGATTAAGCTATGTGAAGATCAAAGTGTTTCTGCATTGACAGGCACATCACCAGTAGCTGGTTAGAAGAAGCCTTCGGGTAACTTGAGCCGAGCATCGTCTGCTCTGACCAATGCTCGCACTCGGGATATGTAGCGTGACCGCCATTCAGGCGCCATTGCTCAGTTGTTCATCGTACTGCGTGATGCCCAACACTGCTAAGCATATCCTCGCTATGGTGGCTAGAGTTCATCTTCACTGAGGGGCTGCATCTCAACATACTCATCCACACTCACACCGGTTGGTCCTAGACGCAAACCAGCCTCTGTGTCCGCTCCATAGTTTAGCAGGATCTTCGTCACTGACTGGAGAAGGCTGGACATCAGGGGACGCTCAGCTGGGTTCATATTCCAGCACTCCTCCACCAGCGCATGACTGCAGTGCAGCAGCACATACACATACGCATGCACACCATGTACCACATACATAAACACACGTGAGCGTGCACACACACACACACACACACACACAACACACACAACACATACACTAATGCACACACACGCGTACACACACACACACACACAAGCAGTTTCGACAGAGGAAAAGAGCCAACTTGGGTAGAAGTGGACACACGTCGCAGACATTAACGGCAATTGTGGTTGGTAACGTATACAATCATCATGTCTACGGCAAGACCAAACAACAATGTGTAAAGACTAGTGATGTAACGATACTAACGAATAATCGATTATCCGAATTTCCTCGATCTCTTGGACCTCAACGAATAATCGATCGAATAAAATTCGAATATCTGCGGGCGGGCGAAGTCCGTGCGCTGCATACCGTGTGCGGGACTCTAGATATCTCGACTTGAATACCTGAACTTTGTACTGTGTTGCTGACAACGACTAGACTACGCGGGGTAGACCATGGTAGACTCTACTGTGAATCGAGTCTGAACGCTTGTGTTGTGTGTTTGCTACATGACACTTTTTGTGGAATAGTAGAATAATCGTTCGTTCGCTTGAGTGGTATTCGCTAGATTATTCGTTCGTGAAATTCATGGTTCATTACATCACTAGTAGAGAGACAGTGAGAGAGAGTGAGTGAGTGAGTGAGAGAGAGAGAGAGAGAGAGAGAGAGAGAGAGAGAGAGGGAGAGAGAGAGAGAGAGAGAAGCAGAGACAGAGTGCCAGCTAGTGTGGACCGTGGTTGTTTCTGTGGTTGTTTCTGTTCAGTGTGCAGCACAACTCACATTTCAGTCGGACATAGTGACGGCTTGTCAAGCCGACCACCTGAATTCAAGTAGCCGGGTATTGCAAAGTTGGAAATGCCGGGATAAGGAATACGACCCAGACTGAACACTTCCCACGTGGTGACGCCAAAAGCCCACTGTGAAGGAGATAACAAAGACCCACATGTTCATGCACATGCCCAACAACAGGGATATTATACGGCCTACTGCTGCATGATATGATCCGGTTACCATAGGTACAGCAAGAGCATAGCTAGACATATGCATGATTGCATAAAACCTTTTACTAAGTTTTAGTTAAAAATACCAAGAAACGACTGAGTTACGATCATATGAAAAATAAAAATGTTTCGATCCAAGGGATCGAAGCTTGTACAGCTAGTCCATAAAGGGTTAAGTACTTGAACACAAAAAAGAGATCTTGCCGATCAAGAATTCTTCTCCAGCTCAGCCCCCCCCCCCCCTAACCTGACAATGGCAATGACCATCAATTCATCTTCTTCCCTGATGATCTTATATGCCTGTTTTCACAACAGAAGAATCAGTGTTGCATTTTAGTGCTGTGCCAAAGGGGACCGTGTTGTTCTACAGTACACCGTACCACGTCCGATCGTCTTGTGAAGACACGGTCATGCAGACACTCCGGTGCCAACCACTTGACCGGCAAGCGTGTAGTGTTCTGCTGCCGGTAGTAGGAGCCGTCGTCCATTGCCCGACTCAGACCGAAGTCCGCAATGACCACCGTGTAGTCCTTACGCACACTGAAACAAATTCATCAACGAGAGAAGGCACATGAATTCAAAATAAGCTTCAAAGTATGTTTATGGTGCATGTGAGAGTCTGAGAGACAGATGTTCTGCGTCCGCTGGACCACCACTATCCTCACCAGTATAATTATATCAAGATCAAGAAAGGCAAGAAGTGCATCATAGTGAGTTCAACAGCCAGACTAGCTACGCCACCATTCAAGTACGACTCGTACATAGCCACTTTGGAGTTATGAACCAGCCGATCTTACGCATGCCTGCCTAGACTCACAGTACATGCACAGAACACTAGTGGAACAATTCAAGGCTAGCTTGTGGCAACTCTGAGCTTTGTGCTCAATGCAACCATCAGGTAACTTGAGGATGCTGTAGCACTCACTATCTTGCCTGATGATTACACTGGGCAAGAGGCTCAGAATTGCAATAAACTAACCTTAAATCCGTCCCAGCTAGTGTACTGTGTACAAGTCCCTCAGTGCCTTTGCGGCACCCGAGCACTATTAGCACACTGTGTACGTCCTCCTGTAAACTGAATAAGTATCGGCATGGTGAGTGCTGTGCAGCATACATGAATAGTTTAAAGTATCCCTTACTGCCCCATTGCCAACCATGCGTTCACAAGGAGAATGGAAATGAAAACGGCATTATATCAATTCTTCACAGACAGAAGAACGAGTAGTGTTTTTTTTTCATAATGCCGAGTTTCACGAACTGAATCGATCATCAGACGAAAATTGAATTGACGAATACTCAATTCTTCACAGCAGTCAACGTGAGCACTCACAGGCAATTCCTGGCGGCTAGGTCTCGATGGACACAGTTCTGCTCGGCGAGGTAAGTCATGCCATCCGCAATCTCCTTCACCATTGTAATGAGCCTGTGATTTGTCTGTAATAAACGGCAACAGTAGCAAGCACACAGCGTAGCACACAGCGTAGCACACAGCGTAGCATTCTGTGACTGGGTTTCCCTGTTAACGGTATTTTCGGAGCCGCCTCGCTTGGCTGCCATTCACCTTTTCCCGATAGATACCAACATAATAGTATGTTCAAAATCATGTCCAGTTGAAGCGTCAAATTATCATTGTCATAGGCAGCAGAGGCAGGTGGCTGCTCCGGTAGTTGGAGCTAGTGCTTAACACCTGAATGATACCTGGCGGCAGCAATTGTTACAGAATTTCATGATGCCAGCTTTCCAGCTGCAATAATAGTGTGGGAGTAGGAATGAGCACGCCTTAAAAACTGCATGAACAGCTAAAGCTTCACCAATGCCCCTGCAGCTTTGGTATCCCCAAGCACACACTATTTCCTGTTTCGCCGCATCTGCGGCAAGAAGAGTGTTAACAACAAATTCACAGTCGCATTTAAAAACCCGAGGCAATTAAAGGTAGTGTCAGTTAATGGTATCAGCTTACCAGCCAGGTGGGGAAATGTGATGGATTTGAGCGGGATGCCTTGAGTAATGAACCTAGATCTCCAAGTTCCATGAGCGGCAGCAACAGCAACGGTGACTTCTGCAGGTCATTCAGGACAGCTAAGGGAACGTGATTGCTGGTAGCAGCAGCTATTGGACTGTCACCATTGCTGCTACTGTCGGCCATTCTCGCGTCGGCCGTTCCCAGGGACAGTCCACTCTCCAAGCAGATGCCTTCCATCCACATGACGTGTGGGTGGTGGAGCTCGCTCATTCGCACTGCTTCCTCTAACAGGGCAATGACAGAGTCCTTCAGGTAGGCATCTACACACCACAGTCAAATTGATTTAGCACACAGAGAAGTTAGTAATGGCTTGCCCTAATCACGGTCCAATTATGACCATGCAGTCCTTAGGTTAGGGTAGATTGTTTTAGGATAGGGCCGACTATGGGCATATACTTTGAAGTACATACACATACATACACATACATACGCACGCGCGTGCGCGCGCACACACACATACACACACACAAACACACACACCATTGACTCGATGCTACAGCAGAAGCTATAGCAAATTGTGCTGGGATTGCACCATTCAACAGCTTGCAAGGCTGAAGAATTGACAGCCACTATTCAGCCTGGTCTACACCACACAGCTATGAAGTTGCTTTTTCTGGCCAGTGAATCCCTACTTTTTCGTCTTTTTTTCTTTTTTTTTCAAGCACACACATCACACTACATACTTCGGCATACACTGGCTGTTGGTAACCACCCAGGAGAGTGAAAGAAAAGTCAGGAGGAGTCTGAGAAAGAGAAGAAGGACATGTGTGACTATAATCATTGGGAATCGAACCCGCAACCTATCGATTGGAAATCGCTGCACATACCACTGCACCATATGGGACACACACATACGTACACATACGCACACACACACACACACACACACACACACACACACACACACACACACACACACACACACACACACACACACACACACACACACACACACACATATAAACACACAGACTACGTACCTTTGGCACACTTTAGAGCAACCGTCTGCGGTGCATCATTCTCCCTCTCCTTCAAAGCAGCACAGAAAACCCTACTGAATTCTCCTGCAGCAATGGTAAAGAACAGCGAGTACACGTATCGTAACATGAACACATGGTCAGTTATTGTAACAAAGTACGGCCACAGCACCGACTTTTTGTGGACGAGTGGTGTTTAAAGTGTGGCCGGAAAATACGATACTTGGCACCCTTAAAGCGGGTCCGCTAGCTCACCACCATGACAACATTGACTTCCAAACCGGTATTCACACACTACAGCAGTGCTCTCACCTTCTCCCAGCATTGTCTGAATTGACAGGGAATGTGCGGTGACATCCCGGTGCCGGAGCTCCTCTGACAGGGCAGCCATTTTCAGCTGGCGCTCCTCGTCTTTGGCAAGATCTTCAAACCGTGCGCTCTGACTGAGGAGAGCGGGCAGCGCGCCGAGTTGCAGTACCGAGTTTTTTGCAAGCTCCGAAATAGACGAAGACCGCTGCATTGGCTTGAGGTGATGCATTGACGTCTGCGACAGTGTAGTGATTTGCAGGGCACAAGGCAAGACTGAGATTATTAGACCATGCAATGAGCAGCAAATGCGAAGAGAGCCACCAGTCAGCCATGCAACTCTGAGCGGGAAACAAACCGTCAAGTATCCAGTAGGGAGCATACGTCTTCTGTGTTTACATATTTTGCACATATGGTTGAATAATATGGTGGTAAAGACACACCTGGCAATATGGCGGTAGATGCACGCCTGCCCACACACGCTCTCTGGGCTGCAAAGTTCTGTCACAGAGCTCTCCTTCTCACCACCACCACCACCACAGGTGTGTATTTACCGCCATACAAGTCAACCATAAGTACAGCTGCAGTGGAGTCTTCAACTTCATATTTTGCAAAGTCGCAAAATTAAAATTCATTTTTATGGATCACCCAAGGATATAGACACTTGCCACTCAAGAATTAAGGATAGAAAACTAGCGAGCCCCCCCCCCCCCCCACACACACACACATATGTACATGCACATCACAACTATCCAAGCCACATGCCACCCATTGCCTAGACATGCATGTACTTCCCGGCAGATAAACCCGACCACCGAAGGAATGGATGCAGCAACTTACAGCATCAATGGATCTTCGACCTTCTCGTGTACGCGACTTCGACATCATCCACTCGGATTGCTTGGCCGGAACAGCAGACTGAGGAAAGAGTTTTCGGCGATCCTCATCTCGGTTGCCAGCAAGGTCCGTACTAATGCCCAGGAATTCATGGACAGCAAACAGACAAACACATGATAGCAGAACAATAGTAGAATAACAGCAGAACGATAGCAGAACGATAGCAGTCTGCCGGTGTTGTGTGTTCACGTTGATGACCCACCATAGCCAGGGTTTCCATGCACAGTTAAGCCATTTTTTTAATTTTTATTTTATTTCAACATCCAATGGCAGAAACCAATGCAAAGAAGGGGGTGTAAGCCATTTAAAGGGAAAGCACCTATGAAGTATGAATGCTGCAACTTCCACAAAATTCCCCAAAAGATTGAATGTTTACGGTCGCACCGCCACCCGATCTCATGTTCACACTCTTGCCGGATACGATATCATGTTGCTGGTCTTGCCGGTACTGTAAAGCGTGAAATTTTCGCGGCGTTTTTAGTTCGCGTTTTCAGAATCCGGACAGGTTTGCAAGGTTTTAATTTTGCGATTGCAGAATGGCATTCTTGCTAAACCTGTGGCATTCTTGCTAAATCTTTCATGGATCTCCTTTTCGCGCTGTCTAAATTTCGCGATATCCACGCGGCCGCGAATTTCACAGAAATTAGACCATGGCAATAATTTCACGGTTTACAGTACTCACCAGGAATTGCACGAGTAAACCTGCTTAAACTCACCAGGAATCGCATGGGTAAACCCGCTGCTTTCTCTTGCTGACGAAAACACAATGTGCCAGCAGGAAGACGGCAAGAGAACCGACGATGGAGCAGGGCACTATGATGCCCACAACCAGTGCCACGTTCCGCTCATCATCTTCACCTGAGAAAGGAGCATTCACACAGAGTGAAGTAATAGGGACTCACGCAGGTATAGGTGTAGGCTTTCACACAGAAGGAAGACCTCTCGGAGTTGGTAGTCAACCAATTCCGAGAGGTCTTGCTTCTACATGTATGTGTGAAGTACTCTTGGCTCAGAATATGCCAAACTACCCGTACATGTACCTGTACACAGGGGTGTCGCAAGGTATTTTAGTGTGGTACGGTCAGCCATCTGGAGTACAATTTCCTCGTGGGGGAGTGGTGGCTGAGCCGAAAATTTTGGAATTTTAGATCCCAGTTCAGTGTATTTTATTGATCCACGGGGGTACCTGGGGCAAAAAGTGGTACGGTCAATACCGTAGTGCCCGACGCCCCTGGTACCTGTACAATCATGTATTTCAGTAGCTGTTCCTACTTCTCTAGGTGTGGGCTTGTTCAGTTGACTATTGACTCTATCACAACAGAGTAGGATTGGTAAGATACTATTGTAACAAACTGAGCCAGCCACCAGTAAATTAGTAGGGTAGCAAGTGACGGTTAGTTCTTCCATCTCGCAAGCTATTCAAGAGTGCAGTAGCAGCACAGATTTCTATACCTACGCGAGTAGTATAAGTCGCTATAATCGCCTTTTGCAATGTGTGTGTGTGTGTGCTGTCCACCAAGGTCACTTCTTAGGTGGGTATTTTTTATTCGTTAACGAATGAAGCTTCGCTACATGTATTATAATACTTTGAAGAGAAATTGGGCAAGTTATCTGTTCTGACTTAAAAGTTTCACACTTGCCCCTTTGTCTGATGATCCGTTTTTAGCATTTTAAACGCAGAGCCACAACATATTTCAAATTCCAATTCATCCCAAAGTTTGTAACCAGCTCTGTACACTTGTGTATCGAGCACTATTTCAGCAAAGGAAGCCCTACCTGTGTGCATTTGGTGTGCTTGCGCTAAAGTGTTTTTGACTTTGAATAGAAAAGGAGCCGAATCTCTAAGCCCACTGAGCTTGTTACTGAGTGATTTCAAGTCTTATGGCGTCCCACAGGTCACTGTAGTCACGTTCATTTTGAGAGTTCTGAGCGCATTGTGAGCACGCTTACCTGTTGGACTATCACCGCACTTAGGAACATCACAATACTCCCATGTGTAGCGCGTATTGTTATCGTCATCTGTGCTGTAGGCTGTCACGCACCAGGGCTGGGCGCGGGCCTCCAGGTCCCGGCAGTTGTTCCCTGCATCGCTCAGCATGAAGACGTATCGCAGCGGATTGGTTCGCCTTGGCCGAAAAGCTGGCACATCGTACCAGGCAAGGCATGGCTTACCACTGACTGTAGTGTTAATTGTGCCACTGTAGTCCAGTGGCAGAGAATCACGGTAGCATGATGCTGGCATAGGGGTAGGCACACAGCAATGACAACGACGATGACGATGACGACAACAACACATGTACACACATGCACATGCGCACACATGTACACATGCACACATGCATATACACAAACAAACATACACAGACATACACACACATTAGATAACCCTGTGAAAGAGGAGTAGAAGATCTGGACGACGGCGCATATACTTGATGCTTGATTTGTACATCTTCCATTCCCATGCACACACATGCATGCACCCCCCCCCCCCCCCACACACACACACACACAAACAAAACACATAAACTCAAGTTGACACCATCATCATGTCAATTCAACCCATTGGTGCCTGACTGAGCCTGCATTGTGTGCTGTTACGTGCAATCGCATCGATCCAAACTCCATGTTTTCAAATCATGTGACAACCCTCTATAGCTATCGAAAGGCTAACTACCAAGGGACACGGTCTCCGTAAAAATAATCAAGTATCTTGACATGTGTACAGGACCTGCTCTGCAATTGACTCAATGCTATTTACTATAAGACAGTATAGATGGTTGGTGGATCTGATCTATCCTCCCCCACCGTTTAGGAGCTGCATCTGACGCCTGATCATGGGGTGGTGGCGTCCCACGGAAGCGGAAAGGTGGTTCTTGACCAGGGAGTTGTACGACTCCTTGTTCTTGACCTGCCCGGTACGCGAAACCGTCGAATTTTTTATTTTTATTTTTTTATGTAATGAAGGCACAAATAGGTGTAGAAAGTAGGGTAAACTATAGACACACTTCTGCCTTAACCTCCACCCCAGGACTGGCTTCAATACGAGGATATTCACAGAAGGCAATAAGGAAACTGGCCATTGCAAACGAACAGAATGACACCAACACGAAACGCGCCCGCAAAACAGCTGAAAGTTTGGCTCCAATTCTAGAGCATGCCACAAACGGCACTACTGATGCAACGATATCATGTGGAACCCTTCTCTGCGGCTTGGAGCGCCCACACTGAGATCTCTCTCTATCCACTCACACTATCTCCTTAGCTAATCTTTGAAGTACCCCGGCCCACGCCATTCCACTTTATGCACCACATGTACTACCATCGGTCTTATGCTGCAGTGGAGTTATCAGCCGAGGCCGCCCCTGGCTAGTACACTTGTAGTCAGTGCACTAGTGCTGGTGCAATGCCTTCACCCTGCAGTACTGCTCCAAGGGTCACTCATGCCGGTCTATGCCAAAAGGTGCCCGTGATGTGACAGCCCACTTAGCAGATGTTCATAATGAGCCACTTCAGATTTACATTTTTATCATGTTCACAAAGAGAAGCGATCACAGGCATTAAGAGTGGTCACAAGAAAAACCCGCTTCCTGTGTTCTATAGACAGGAGCTAGTTCGGCTTGCAAGTATATGTCCAAGCAACTGCAGCAGCTGCTGTGGACTATACCGTGTGTTATCTTTTACCTTTACTTGCCCATTATGAGCAACACAAACACAGGATTTTCTCAAATCGTAGCTCAGCCCTGACATATTATCAACAAAGCGCTGTGGTTCCGACACCTGACCCTCCACACAGCGCCCAGAACATCAACCCCTGGTATCCTTGGGCAGGGTTGAATCCCCATGTGAGTTACATGGTCCCTAGCTTGATCAATGATCACTGTGGCTAGATACATGTGCATGTAGGTATCTGCAGGAAGAGCACAGATCTGTACTTGTCCGCGCATAGTATACTTATTTTATTTTATTTTCTATACAAAGGTCCACTATATTCCCGAATATGTGCGAGAAGTGGCGGCGGGGCCAGGCTGCTCTGCCAACCTCAAAGGTCTCGGCGTCTACGCAGACAAAGCGCGCCATACTGATGGCATCATGGTTATACTTATTGTCATAATAATTATCATGAGTACGCTGACATGAATCTTTCTTATGAACTGCCCTCTGGCTAACAGTTACGCATCATTACAACCCCCACCCCCTTCATGTACTAGTACCCATTTAACTCAAGCAATGCAAACCATGCTGAACCTTCATTGGCTTCATTGACCCCTTTGCCGACATGACCTGCCAGCATAGTCACACAGACTACATGAGTCCCCCAGGTCACACAAAAGGTAACCCCGCAAGCAGTGGATGGTCATTGGACACTGTCTTGACCATATCCGGTTCAGTGGCTGCACCAGAGGTCATGGGAACCTACTGGCTCAGAACATTTGGGTCAACAACAACCTGCGCTTATCCCGGTGAAGCTCTAAAAAGTACTTGCAACCAGAATCGAGCTCCACAGACATACACTTCTTGGTCTTGCTCCCTACCAACCATGTTCACGTGTGTCTCCCCCCCCCCCCCCCCCTCCCCAAAGGGGAGACATTCAAAAGGAATCTTGTAAAGATGATTCTATTGGCTATGGAGCCCCCCAGAAATCCCCAAACTCTAGGTTGCCTTGAGGGATGATCCTACTTATGGGCTAACCAAACCTCAGTAAGTGGGACGGTGAGGACAAGGTCACGGCAGGGAAGGGATTGACAGCACCATGGTATCCGTCCCCGGATCCAACTGTATGGGGGGGGGGGGGGCAGGGGACAAACAGTGTACAGGAATGTAGACACACACACATGCATACACTCCCAAAAACTATTCCATACCTTTTGTTTCCATAGCTCTTTGAATACCACTCTCGCTATTTTTCAAACTTTTACTTTATTGAAACCTCACAAAGAGACATGTTTGCACAGTGTAATGTCATTGCCAATACAATCAACTTTAACGTAAAGGGATTTTTTCTTTTGTCAATTTTGTTTCAGAGCCTACCATCTTTGAAAGAATTACAGCCTGTGAAAGTATCAGCACTTACAAGTGCTACATGATTGTACATGTACATGTACATGTAGGTGAATACATCAGTCTTTCCTTGATAAGAAGTTTTCCAACTGGTAAGTACGTGTAAGTTGAGCTGCATGTACATGTACTGTGCCCATACCACACAACCTAATAAATATCCAGAGAAAAGCTATATTATGTATATGTACATGTACGTGCAGCACATGTGTAAGATAACTAACTGTTACTTCAAACGATAGCGGGAATAATGGCACACCCCCTGTGCCAGCCTAGCGTCTGCATCCAGGCAGTGCATGCATCAGTGGCAGCAGAGGGAGGTGGTCACATGACATTAGCTGATGAGATCAGTATTAAAATTGTTTTACTATCAGAGATGCAAGCACATGTACATGTTTACAACAGCACAGTGGTACCACACAGCACAGTGGTACCACACAGCACAGTGGTACCACACAGCACAGTGGTACCACACAGCACAACTCAGTTACTGTATCAAGAATCATGTAGAGGCACATATTGAAACGGTACCTTACACAATCACGCAGTTTATCAGTTTGGTACACAGACACACATGCAGAGCAGGCACACCCTCCATTCATGCCAATCACTGGTACCATGTACCACATGACAGGCATGAAGTGCAGCACGTGAGCTGCATCACTGGAAGTTAGTTTGTCACACATGTGGCATACAAGGTCACGTACAGAACAACAAGGGCAATCAAGGCTTGTTTGCTGCTACTCAACGTTTCATGCTTTTGCAATCATCAGGCAACCAAGGTCATTTACATGTACACATGTACATGAAAAGTGTACTGACATCAACATGTCTCGTTTCCGCTGTTCCAGGCAAGGAAAACGGTTACCATTCTCCAGGGTGGTGCATACTTTTTTTTGGCAGTGATGACATCTTTGCCAATAATTATAGTGCAGTTCAAATAACACTTACCACCAGCACACCCACCATGTACACACACACACACACACACACACACACACACACACACACACACACACACACACACACATGCGCGCATAGAGAGGATACCAATACCGCAATGCCAATGGTCATGCCTACATACGGCCCACACACTCCACACTCACTGAAGTCTCAACAAAGTATGGAATGCCAGCGCCACCACTTGACACCTGGATGTGGCAGTGCGATTGCAAATACTAGTACTTCGAAGTACACCCAGGTATACAACATCTACTTCAATACACCAATACTCATGCACACACGTGTATGCACAGATGCCTGAACTGGCTTTGCAGCACTTACTCCACACATCACATGCCAAGCCTTACTCACAAACCTGTACAGCTAAGTATACAGGCCTACATACGAGTACATGTACATGATCCTGTGTTCCGCTTGGTCCGGCCTGCAACCCCCAGATTAAGAGCCCCTGAGTTACAGCTGCAGCGCAGAAAACACCTGACATACAAACAATTATAATAATGTCTGTTCCAGACTTCACGGCACACGTGCACATGTTTACAAAATGTAATCACCACACATGTACATTGTACATGTACATACAAGGAGGAAAACTTCCTTCTGCACATACAAATGCACATGTATGTATCCGGTGGTAACAGTGCAGCCTGTGAACAGATCCAAACCTAGACTAGAGCATACCAAACAATGCACACATGTACAAACACATACAAATGTAGTTGTGCTACTGTGAATACTTCAACACAGTAAGTGAGTTATCACGGTACATGTACAACCACTAGTACATCATGCACGGCAGCAGATGCCCCTCGGGGCCAGGAGGATGGACATTCTATTGATCGATGCGGAGGCAAACTAAAATATTCTATTTTCAGCCAAAAACTATTGAATATTACAATCATGTGCATGTACACTCTGCGCATTGCGCAACCTGATCAGTCTGCAGACCTACATGTACATATAGGTCTATCATTGGCGCGGCCGGGCTGTATGATCTTGGTTTGGAACTGGTAAGCAAGGCCCCGACAAGTAACACTAGTGTCTAGCCCAACAGCACACTATGTTATATGGCAGGACCCCGGGGGATTACTCAGAAATGAGAAGGAAACATTGTCCGCATTGTCAGTCTTGAAATTCTGTAGTGGTATAATTATGTACATGTAAATGTATACAACACAATATTATCAGCATGTCGTATATTTACACTGGCTAGCTGT